CTTGCTCCAAAGGGCGGGGGGGGGGGGGGCGGTACTTGTTATGCAGTAGGTTGTTGGAGGGAATTCATTACATGTATTGTGCCAGGACAGATGAGTGGTGGCAGGAGGTGAGCTGCAATTGAAGCTCTGCCTCCTGTCAGATCAGCAGCATTAGAATCTCATAGGAGCACGCTCCCAGGAGGTGGAGCTTTGCTTGCCGCTCACTTCCTGCTCACCACTCATCTGTCCCAGCAGCCTGTTCCTTCCAAGGCACCGGTCCAGGGGTTGGGGACCCCAATCTATGTAACTCATCCTTCACACCCTTTTAAAATCTTCTGGTTTTTAATGACAACTAATGGTTGTAGTTTGGGAGGAATGTGGCATATTCTATCTTTGTGACTCTTTTTTCAGGAAATAAACAAAAAATTAGGATACAACTTTGGTACAGCTCAGTTTCAAACATTCATATTTGTGGTTCCAACTTCACGAAGTAATTCACTTTGTTAACCTACATCAAATTATCGAAGAGGTCAATAAATATTTTACACCAATGAAAAACATAATTTTATTGACTAATGACAATCGTAAGGGACTAATTCGAAGATTTAGGTAAAGGTTCCCCTTGACATTTAGTCCAGTCGTGTCCGACTCTAGGGTGTGGTGCTCATCACTGTTTCTAAGCCGTAGCGCCATCGTTTTTTGTTCATAGACCGTTTCTGTGGTCACGTGGCCAGCACAACTAGACATGGAACTCCATTTCCTTGCCACCATGGTGGTGCCTATTTATCTACTTGTATTTGCATGCTTTCAAACTGCTAGGTTGGCAGAAGTTGGGATAAGTGAGGAGAGCTCACTCTGTCACATGCATTCGATCTTACGACTGCTGTCTTCTTGCAGCACAGAGACTTCTGCTGTTTAACCCACAGCACCACCATATCCCTCCTAAGATTTATACCATATTAATTAATACATTGTATGATAAAGCTAGGAGGCTTGAAGGAGTTCTGGGAAAAACTTTGTATTTGTTAGCAGGGATAAAGACTGTTGAATTTTAAAAAAATTAAATTAGAGTCAGTGACTGTGAGAAAGCAGTGCCTCAAAATCATGGTACTAGACTATTTGAATTGAATTATATAAACAAAAATCTGAATCCAGATTGTTGAAGAGGCTGCAAAGTAATTGGCACTGTTCTGGATAAAGATACTTAATAGAATCAGAAAGATAACATTAGAAAGAATTATCATGACCCCAGCATTTGGATTAATGAGTTTATGTTTGGATTCTAATGCATCATTATGCCACAAGGAAAGAATTGTCCTTTTATCTGTAGCAGCTAAACATGTGATTGCTCAGTCTTCAACAGGATAAATGTTTATGAGATTCACAACACATATATAAAGGTACCTCACTAGACAACGACCTCATAAAATGACGAATGACATGACAATGAGGTTTTGCGATCGCTATAGCGATTCACAAAAGAGTATTTCCAATGGGCGATTTTCACTGGATGATGATTTGGTCTGTGTTTCGCGGACGGGTTTTTTGCAAGACGACATTTTTACAGCTGATCAGCGGCTTCGCAAAATGGCTTCCCTATGTTTCCGGGACCCATGCTTCGCAGGATAGCCATTTTAACAGCTGATTGGCACTCGCAAAATGGCTTTCCTATGGGCGATCTTCGCAGGACGACGATGTATTTTCCCCATTGGAATGCATTAAATGGGGTTCAATGCATCGGTTTTCGCATGACGATGATTTCGCTAAACAGCGATTTCTGTGGAACGGATTATCATCATCATGCGGGGCACTACTGTATTTTGTAAGACTTGGCTCCCTTTATTTAGTCCTGTAACAACCATACAGATTCTTTCAGTGACAACCCCCCCCCCAATATTCCCATGTTAATTTGTGGAGAAACATGCTAGCCTAATTGTGTAATATTATCTGATGCTATTAATATATAAAATAGCTTGGAGAAATGTAATAACTTTCTGTTTTTATATAGTAAATTTGAATGAGTAAAACAATAAATAAGGATAACATTGGAAATCAAAGAAACAGAGACCCCACTCCAGATCCGCTGCCAGCACCAGCTGTTCCGGATGCGCCTGTTGAAGCACCAGCAGGGTGGCTGCAGCCACCTTCTCAGGTTTGGCTGCGTGGGGTGGAGCAGAGTAGTGATCTGGTGACTTATGGCTCGCGTGCTGTCAGAAAGGGCTACACGTGCCAGCTGTGGCACACATGCCATAGGTTCGCCATTGCTGACCTAGAACCTGGTACAGTATCATAAATAATACATTCCTTTTTTTCTTAGACCTAGGACCAATAAGTCTCAACTGGTTTGAAGAACTCAGTTCAGAAGCTCCACCTTATTCTGTTAAAATAACAGAGGACCATGAACATAAAACTGACCATTTGGATCAAAGTACTTTTAAAACACCACGGGCGAAGCTGTCTGCAAGTGGCCTAACGGCATCAACTCCAATGATTTTTAAAGAACAGAATAAAACTGTACAACTATTTTCTTCTCCTATAAAAGAAACTGGCAAGAGCAACACAGAAACAGGTGAAATGCATGTATGATTAAATATGTACTGTATTAGAGATAGAGATGGCGATATTCATATACGAATACCTCTGTGTAGCTGGAATTAACGAGGGTTGGCCCCCTAGGGGCCAGACTGTCCACTCATGCATCCGCCAGTGGCCTTGCTCATCCTTCCAATCACTCCTTGAGCCCCATTCTCTTCCTGCTTGGCTAGCCACTCCAGGCAAGGGGAGGGAGGACA